TTCCTGCTCATCTCACTCACACAAAGAATTCTATTTTTACACAAAAATATTTGTACAATGAATTGTAACGAGCTTTTCCGAACAATCAGGCATTATCTACCATCATATATAGGAGTCTTTGTCGATTGGGGCATGATCCTACAAAAGTCTAAGTCTGTTTGACTTGCTCTGTTTTTGCAAGCAGTATTGATCTTGGCTCTTCGTCTTGCTCTCTCCTGCAGAAACAAACACTGAAATTCAAGATTCGGCTTCCTGTAGGCTAAATTAAGAACTAAACAAGTCAATATTGTATAAACCCATGAGGGAAGCAGTGTGCTCACACCCCCATGCACGCACATTTCACAGCTCCAGCAGCACCTGAAGCCTTGAAGCCTGATGCTGGAAACACTGAGCATAGCCGGCTCTCACAGAGTCCCCTGAAGTTCGAGAACCTCTTCCAAGATGCTCGCGAATGCTAACTGTGCCTTCTTTCAAAATTAATAAGGCTTCAGTCAATTCTGACTGACACTGAGGAAAAGAAAATATTTACTAAACATAAGGCAATAAACAGAGGCCCACAGTTGCTATGCTGGAATAGCAAGCTAGTTAAAGTAAAGCCTTTACAAATGGCAAAGCAGATTTGTAGCCTCATATTTACTTACTGTAAATGATAACACTACTAAACAAACTCTCAGATGACTCAGCAAAAGGGTCATGACCACCTTAGAAAGCCTTGTTTATTTTAATTTTGATACTCGAGGACTCACGAGCACTTCACATCCAGGGCTGCCTCCCAACACCTGCAAGGATAAAGTATAAACTACAATTCCCCACTACACAGAGAAGAAAGAAGAAGGATGCTCAAAACTAGTTGAACACCCTGGTGCATTAATAAAGACACTGAGTAAAACAGGCTAGGCAGCCATTAAAGTGTAAACAAGGGACAGAAATGCTTCCGAACCACGACAGAAGTCAAGGATGAACCTATAAAAAGAGCAGTGCCTTTCTTAGGGACAATTTTTTCTTCACAGTCTACACATTTCTTTTCATTCAGGCTAATGGTGAAAGTCAATTATATTTGTTTGCATAACTTCCTAAAGCTGGCTAGAACATTTCCCTCTTTCTAATTCTTGCATGCATTATTCTGACTGATGACTAGCAGATGCTGAAAGAGGGCTGCTACAATATTTGTGCCCTGGTTTCTACACACAGCTACTTTATCACCAGCATCATCCAATCCAAGGATGTCATCCTTGAAAATACCATACCTAAGTGTTGACTCAGTCTGACACTATTTAGATGTTCTAATTTAACAGACTCAACCGAAAGACAAAATGACCACAGGCTACTCGGCTATTTTTGGCAAATTCACAAATAAAGATTTCTATTAGCCTTCTGTCTATTACTGCTTTGATATGGAAGAATTCATATCAAATATTATTCTACTTCTTCCATTTGATTAAAGTTAGGTACGTTAGATTTTTTTTCTTCCCCTTTCTGAATGGAGATTTTGCCTAAAACTGCTTTAGGAAAAGCAAAGAAGGAAACAAACATTCAACTTCCCAAAATCACAGAGAAAGAGGATCTTGGGGTGAGAAAGGATGTTCAACATGTTCATCAATATTTGTGTATTCTCCTTTTCAAATGCAGCTGTGAAGCAGCAAGCTGTGAGGAAGAAAAGGATTTGCATTTACAACAGAATTGTCTGAGAGCAAATAAATGGTCAATCAGTTTTTAAAATTATTCTCTACTTTCATTATAATTTTTAATCTTGTTTTTAATGGTCTGTGATATAACTTTGAATATCAGCCAATAGAGAAGCTTCAAAAAATTGCCACAGGTCAGACTGCACAGCTACTGAACTCAGGGAACAGAGAATTTTAGGGATCTGGCCTTCTCCCCCCTCAGGGATTACAAAAAACACCACCACTTGATTTACCAGAATCTTTCATATGTTATACACATCTCTACTACAGTGAACGCTAAAAGCTAGCTCATTTTATTTTTTTTTTTTTTCCCCCCTTAAGAAAACAACTGTCTCATGGAAAGCAGCTCCATTTGCCTGAAGCATTAAAAAAGAAAAGGCATCTGAGCAGCAGCTATAGCAGAAACCATCTGTGACCAGTTTGGCCTCCAGCTCCTCGAAACTTCCACCTACACCTAAGCTGCTCCCTCTGTCTTTTCAAAGCACGTTCTCCCGTTGCCAACCCTCCTCCTCCTCCTCCCTCTGCTCTCCTCTCTGCTTCCGCATGCACCTTAGCAGTCATCAGCCACTTCCAGAGCTGGAAAGTCATAGAATAACCCTCAATTCTGATATGGCAGCAACCACCCCTGCACTCAGGAACAGGAAAGGGCAATTTAGGGAGGAAACTGAGAATTTTACCCTTAAAACCTATATATACATATATATATATATATTTGCTTGCAAAAGAAAGAAATTCTTTGTCTGTGGCTTTCAGCTTGGCATCTTTTGCCCAGAGAGTTCACCTTAAAAAAAAAAAAAAAAAAAAAGAGCACTTGCATTGAAAACGTGCCTTTTTTTTTCTTTTGTTTTGTTTTTAATACCTCCGTAGACCGCTCCGTTGCCAGCTTCCTGCTACCCTCACACCCCACTGGCAGCCATAGCACTAATTGTAGACATGTGTTGGTACAAGGAGTCCACTTGAAGTATTGAACTGTTCTCTCTACATAGCAAAGAGATGTGTTCAGCCGGGATTTTAACCTCTGTAAAAAGTCATGGATTTAGGACAGATGTAACCTTATCTTCTGTTTCCCATTCCCCCAGAACCTTGAAAAGACAAACAAAACATCAGTGCTCCTGTTTACACAGAGAAAGTTGTAGCCCCACGGAGTTTAACCACCGATCTGGTTGGACATTTGCTCCCGCCTATAACCCTGGCTTTTGGGGAACACAAAACACCTATAGACATCACCCCACGGTAAGCAAACAGAGGAGAGCTCTTCCATCCGGGTGCGCCGCGGATTTTGGATAGCTCTTCGAAAGTAGCATTTGGCTGCAGACCAGCTGGGCTGCGGGCTGCAGCTCTCCACAGCATCTGCCTGTTCCTGCCAGACAAAGGCCCTTTTCTCCAGCTCTGCCTAAGGAATGAGGTTTTTTTTTTTCTCTCTTGTCTGATCAAATGAACATCTCTGAAGTAAAACAGAGACTCAGGTTTTGCTAGGTGCATGGCAGTGCTGACTTCTCCAGCAGATGACCTGAAGCCAGATGAACGCAGCACTAGCCCCAGTTGTCTAAAGATGTGACATTATCGTGACTAAAAATGAAACAGTCGCGTTCAGAAAATTGACTTTCTAAGAACTCACCAAAAAAGGAATGAAGAGAAGTCAAGAGCCCCAAATGACACTTCATAACTATATTTAAATTATTAAACAAGTGACAGGCTTCGCTGAGCCTGGAAAACGCACTGCGTCAGCTGCAAGTCCCACACACCGACTGCAGCAGCACAATCCGCCCTTTCCAGCAGAGCCACCCCAGAGGGGAACTGCAGCAGCAGCACCCTGGCACACTGCAAAACAAGCCCTGCTCTCCAAGCAGCCCAGGGCAAGTCAGCCTACATGCAACGTGTCAGGGTGAGAACCACAAACGAATTCAAGATATTCCCCTCCTGGGAGCTAATGGCTCCCTCCTGGCTTGCCCTGAGGTCTCCTCATCCTGGAGGGATCAATCTCCCCCATCCACAAGAGAACTGCCCAGGTGGGAGCATCCCTTCTACCCAACAGGCACTCCTGGGTTAAAAATGAAGCTCACCATCTACCCATAGGTACAAAACTGCCTGGTATTTATCTCTTGTAAGGCTTGAGCAGCAATAATGGAGGGTGGGGGGCAAGGACTGCACCCTTACTTCTGTACCAAAGGAGTCGGAGTGCATGGCATGTACAAGGCCGTGCTCCTGGAGAAAATGAGGGAAGAGGGAAGAAAGGCAGACCACAAACCAGCCCCCATCCGTGGGGATGTAAACGTACACCACAGGCATGAATATTCCCCCTTCTCCCCCCACCAATTTCCTCTCACATTAAGATAACAGGGAGAAAAGGGACTAATTTCTACAGCAGCTCTTTTGTGGTTTGGATACACAAAAGTGCGCAGGAGATAAAACAGAAAATATCAC